TATTGTCAGGAGAGACCAGTTCTTGGAAAAGGATACCATGTTTGGTAAAGTGGAGGGTTGGAGAAAAAGACAAAGACCCCCAACTAGATGGTTTGGCATAGTGGCAGCAGCAATGGACTCACACAGTGACAACTGTGAGGTTGAGCAGGACCGGGCAGTGTTTCCTTCTGTTGTGCACAGGGTCGCCATGAGTCGGTACCAACAGAATGACACCTAAAAACTTAAGGGACTCTGGTGGCATAGTGGGTTATGCGTTAGGCTGCTAACCACAAGGTCAGCAGTTCTAATTCACCAGCCGCTCTGCAGGAGAAAGATGAGGCTTTTTGCTTCTGTAAAGATTTACAGCCTTGGAAACCCTATGCAGGGTCACTATGAGTCAGAACCGACTCGACAGCATACAACAACCTATATAAGGAACTCACACAACTCAACAACAAAAAAGACAAACAACCCAATTAAACCATGGACAAAGGACCTAAATTGACAATTGTCCAAAGAAGACATACAAGCACATGAAAAGTTGTTCAATATCATTAGTCATTGGGAAAATGTAAATGAAATCCACAATGAGCTGTCACTTCAGACCCACTAGAATAGCTATTATGAGAAAAACAGAAAACAAGTGTTGGAGAGGATGTAGAGGAATTGGAGTCCTCATCCCTTGCTGATGGGAATGTAAAATAGTGTAGTCGTTGTGGAGAACAGTTTGGAAGTTCGTCAAAATATTAAACCTAAAATTATCATCTGACTCAACAAGGACCACCTAGGGATGTATCAAGGAGCTCGGGTAGCGTAGTGGTTATGAGTTGGGCTATTAACCTAAAGTTCAGCAGTTCGAAACTACCAGTCACTCCACGGGAGAAAGATGAGGCTTTCTTCTCCGGTAAAGATTTATAGCCTCGGAAACCCTATACAGGGTCGCTATGAGTTGGAACCAACTCACTGGCACATCACCACCACCACCATCAGCAGGGATGTATCAGAAGCCTTGAAAGCAGAGACTAGAGGCCTTTTCTCTCATTGTCCACTGCAGTACTATTTACAACAGCCAAGAGGTAGAGACAACCTAAGCATCCATCAGCAGATGAATGGACAGCCCAGATGTGTTCTATCCACACAGTGGACTCCTCTTCAGACATAAGGAGAATGTGGAGTCCTGGTGTGGCGCTGCGGGTTAATACGCTGGACTGCAAGGTCTCTCTGAATTGCAAGGTCGGTGGTTAAAGCTCACCAGCCACTCCTCGGAAACCCTATATAGAGTTGCTCTGAGTCGGTACTGACTCGACGGCACTAGACAACAACAAACAAGGAGAATGAAGTACTGGTATACGGTATGATATGGATGTTGTTGGTGGTGGTAGGCGCCATTTTGAGCTGATGTCAACTCACAGCGATTCAACCATGTCAACTGTGTGACAAGAGTATCTTTCAGGGTCATCGAGTCAGTTTCAACTCATAACAACCCTACATATAATAAAATAAAACACTGCCTAGTCCTGTGACCAAATAGAACTCAAAGTACTGTTTTCTAGGCTGTGATCTTGATGGCTTCAAGGTCAGCAGTTCAAACCTACCAGCTGCTCCTCCGACACCCTATGCAGGGTCGCAATGAGTCAGAACCAACTCGACGGCACTTAACATCAACCAATCTTTATGGGAGCAGCTCACTAGCTCTTTGTGCCTCAGAGCCACTGAGTGAGTCCAAACTGCCAACCTGAGCACTCAACCTTGCAAGCCTTGAAGATACCGTATGATTTCATTGATATGAAATGTCTAGAAGAGGCGATGTGTAGAGACAAAAAATTATCAATAGTTAACAGGGGGTGGGAGGAAGTGAAAACGGAGAGTTACTGCTTTAAGGGATACTGAATTTCTGTTTGGGGAAATAACTTTGGAAACAGATAATGGCAGTTGTACAAGCATGGTGAATGTGAAGAAGATCGCTGAGTTGTACATTTAAAGACTGGCTGAAACAGGAGATTTTATGCAATGTATATTCTACCACACATGCGAAAAAACTCAATGGCTTTTCTTTCGGATTTTACAACAAGAGAGATCAGCTGATTAAGACTGATGAAGCTGGATATACCAGCTACTAAGGAGCTCTGGTAGCGTAGTGGTTACGAATCGGGCTGCGAACCTTAAGGTCAGCGGTTTGAAACTACCAGCCACTCCGCGGGAGAAA